GTTGTGAAACCTGCGGACCCGAGCCGTGTGCTCGGGCTGGACAGCTCTTACTGGTGGTTCAGCTCATGGCTACAGCAGCGCAAGTAATTATGACAGCTGCTGTAATTGTGTACACAGTTCCTACACCTGTGCGTACGCTTGGTTTGTGTTTTGCTGGAGCAGTGCCTTCTCCTGAGCCCGAGCAAATACTGACAGTCCCAAACTCTTGGTCTTTGGGGAAAAAAAAAAAAAAAAAAAGGTAGCTGTTTTTTGCCAAGCATATCAGCAAAATGCAGAACTAGGTTGCCTTCATATATGTCTGTATATATCAATTGGTTGGTCTCGTTTGCATCGCTTCCATTCTTGTGCGATACCTCACAATCGTAATTAGTGACAGCGAAGAGGTGGCTGATGAGCAAACTCAAGCAAAACACCGCGACTCGCGTTCGTCTTGGTTCTTAAGGGACCACTGAGAGCCCTCCAAGGGAAATACTGTCTGCCCAGCATGCTCAGTCAACAGCCACCTCACACGGGCGGCCTCGGACGCTGGTGGGATTTCTAGGGCTTTGGGGTTTGGCCTGTCTCGAGGAGGCGGTTGCAGTAAGTTTATGCCCAACACCTTTAAAACGGGTTGGGCACCTCAGCCTTCTGCCCCCTCCCCTGCCCCGACGTGGGCACAGCCCTGAGCGAGCTGGAGCGCTCTGGTAGCGAGGTGAGGGGTGATTCTTGTTCTTGCCTTTACCTAACGTGGTGCTCCTTGGTGGTAGCTTGTAGAGTTACACACCGGGCTAAAGCGCTCGCTGGTATTTCGGGGCACGTTGGCCGGGGTTTGTGGGTGGTTGTGTAGCAGAGTGAGCAAGGCTCGTAGCGCTCAAGCCAAAAACCAGCATGTTGTGCGTTTTCTTTGCTTTAAGTCTCCTTACTCATAGCTGGAACAGGTAAAACTTGGCCTCTGTGTTTATTCTTCTCCATTCTTCTCATGACTCCAGTAGAACAAAATCGAACTTTGCCTTTTGACAGTAGGAGCTAGTGAGTTTTGCGTTTTTCAAGCTGCTCTCTAAATCCAGATTATTTTCTTGTCTTGCAGGCTGCTATATGGCAAGCACTTAACCACTACGCGTACCGCGATGCAGTGTTCCTTGCCGAAAGATTGTATGCAGAAGGTATGTACTTTACAAATAGAAAGTTGGTGCTTTTTTATTTTCAATTTTGATTTAGGTTTTTTGAGCTTATGGTCCTGCTTCGTTTTGCTCCTGTTGTGATAATGAAGTTTAGCTTTCTGCTTGGGGAGAGGAGAGAATGCCTTGCAGTTAGATTGGAAAATCAAATCATGTAACAGCATTAATGTTATTTTATAGTAAAAAGCCCCTTGGAAAATTAAATTCAGAGTTTTGTACCTAAGTACAACATTGACAGTGTAGTAGCAAGTGAGACAGACAGGTTTTCTTAGTAACCTGAAGCGTTGCCTGTCTTTCAAGGGCACTTGAGAGTAGGTGCGATACACAAGTTCTACAGATTGTCTCCATCTCGAAAGCTGTCTGTGCTAATGCTGCTGTTCAGATGCTTAATCGGTGCGTTCGCTGAAAGAGAACTTTGTGGGGAAGGAGAGAGCAACAGTGAAACTGAGACAGAATCTGAACATCCGGAATAAGTATCTCCAAGTCACTTCTTGAATCGGTGCATTCGCTGAAAGAGAACTTTGTGGGGAGGAGAGAGCAACAGTGAAACTGAGACAGAATCTGAACATCCGGAATAAGTATCTCCAAGTCACTTCTTGCTGATTATTTGCTCTCAGATCTAGGATGGCTTGGATGCTGAGCTGGCAGCAGTGACACAAATCTGCTTTTCCTGGGTCCTAAAAAGACCACACGTGGGGTTTTTTTGTGCATTCTAGTCCCACTTCTTTAACCCTTCCTCCATGACTTCAGATAAGGTTTCTGTTCTTCTCTACTTCTTTCTGCTCTGCTCATGTTCAGCTTCTCTTTTTTGAAAGGTATTGTCCCCTCATCGTTAACATGAAAAAAAACCCGCCAGCTCTTAAGCTAAAGTATAAATATATTTTCTCATGCTGAAAAACTGGACTTATAATGTGAATTAATCCGTATTGCCTGTTTCATGCTTTGTGTTTTGTAATGAAATGTTTTGCTTTCAGTGTTCTGCCCAGCACACCCGCAGTGCACTTCTTGACAGCAGAAGCACAAACCCCATTTTTGAGAAATAAAGATTTATTTTTATTTTTTTTCCCCTCGCGTCAAGATAACCCATGAAATCTGAGGTTTTCCATCTTGTGCTTAAATACGAAGTGTTGTGTAGAATATTACGGAACCTTATAATTGAGGCGTGTGTAAAAGAAATAGTGTTTTAGGGATGACAGTCTCCTCTGAGCCCAGCGCAGCGTGAGAAGTAGGGAAGTGGTAGATGGAAGGCAACCACCAAGGATGTAGAAACGAAGAGAATCTGCTTTTTTTTCAGCAGCCAAGAGAAAAATGACTCGGTACGGACGCTATCTTTGCAGAATAATACTCTGCAAGGGTACTTCAAACAGCTTTTTTCAGTGACCAGCAGTGCTGAGAGAGAACAGCGTGCATGCTGTCGCTTGGCTCAAGCAATTAACTGCGAACAAAACATCTGGCTTCTGCTTAAAATAAGTCATCGCACTGCGGAGTAGGAGCTGCTGGACTTGAATACGGTGACTCCATATTGGCAGTAATGATTATTTTCTTTTTCCCTGAAAAGAACTTCTAAGTCCACCTGCAATTACTGTCCTTGCAGGGACATCTGTGGCTTGGTAGTTTCCCAGAACTCTGAAAGTGTATTAAATTAGTGGATAAAAGAATTGATTTAACTTGAATTTTCAAAAAGATCTTCTGGTGGTTTTTGGATAGGGCTAATAAAATGTCCTCTCTTTGGGTCTTCGGTTTCCTTTGTCATTGTCGGGGTGAGGGCACAAACTTAAAATTGTCAATTTTCAGTGTAGGAAAGGATTTCAGCAGGTTGCCCGAAGAGGTTTTTGTCTAACGCTCATACGGATTTTTCTGAAGAGTTGCACGTAGGTAGATGAGCAAACCTCAGAATTGTTTCTTTTAATGCTGAATGGCCGTTGCATGGTGGCGTGTTATGAAAAGTATAAAGTAATGCAGGTTTCTTAACTGTTTGGAGATTTAAGTTGCTTGCCTTTGCAGCCAGCCTTTCTTTGATTCTTTGCGTAACGTTTTGGGAAGTACAAAGAAGAGGGTAAGATGCCGTGGCTGTGCATAATCTGTGAGTGTGTCTGGGTATCTGCCTCTTTTTGCTTAAAACCCAGACAACAGAGTTGTTAAAATGAAGTCTTACAGGTATTTCAGGCGGTTGTAGCGTCACGCTCGAGTTACCACCATGGTGTTGCTCACTGTTGCCTCACAAAGTGCATTCTCTGACACTTAAAGTTTCAGCTGATAATTTTATGGTAAGGTTTCAAAGCTACTTCAGGGGTTAACTCCGTCCTTTTATCACAAGTGAAGTCGGCAAGTCTGGATGATTTTCTTCTAAAGTTTAACAACTTCCTTCAGAATTTAGGAGATTGGGAGGGCTCTGGGAAGAAGATTTGTAGGAGAGCTTGTCCCTATTGCTGCTTCCTGACATAAAACAACTAAAACATCTGAAGGGTGATGTTAAACCATATTCCCAGTAAAATAATGGGTGTAGGCAGCAAAAAGGACAAGACTTAATGTTGGGGTAGAGGTGACTGGCGATTAACCAACTTTAATAGTCATTAAAATTAGAAAATCTGCTCCACTGTTGTGTGAAGATACAGCATCAAGTGCTTTAGAAGTGTAACAGAAGTAAAATTACAAACCATTTGAAACTGAGATTCGAGCTGTCTTTAGGCTGAAGTAGTTCTCCCTTCTGGAATTTCTTGTGCCAGCCGCCGTGCATCGCTTAAACTAGCGCCGAGCGTTCCTCGCAGGTGCGATAATACCCTGAGCCGAGCCTTGGTGCGGCCAACAAGTTGTTGAAGTAGCTCTGTTATACTGGGAGTGACTGCTTGGCTTGACGTGCTGTTATTCTAACAAACTGGCTAATCACTCATTTAGTTTGGGTAATCGGAACGACTGAAATTCTCTTACAACAGTGGATGTTAGGAGTTGGTCTAACAGTACCACAAAATGTCACACAGAAGCTTGTTACATGCTGACAACTGATGTGCTTCATTCGGTAATTAATTTCTCCAACACCAGGATTTTTCTTCTGTTGTTTCTAGCTTGCTTTTCCTCCCTATCCCCAAATTCCTTGTGTCAAAATGGTAAATGACCGACTGATGATGTATTTTTTTGAATCTTATTTTTCAGTACATTCGGAAGAAGCACTGTTTTTACTGGCAACATGTTACTACCGCTCAGGAAAGGCCTATAAAGCATACAGGCTCCTCAAGGGACACAGCTGTACTACCCCCCAGTGTAAATACCTGCTTGCAAAATGTTGTGTTGACCTCAGCAAGTAAGTAAATCCTTTATGGTCTGAGGTTACAATTGCTTTTTTTTATTTTTTTTTTGGTTCAGATTTGTCTTTGGAAGCTGTCATATTGCATAAACTAGTAATTAGTTAGTCCTTCAGCTCTAAAGATTATTATAAGTTCAATTAATTTTACTTTCAGATAGTGGACCTAACGAACATTAGCCCATATTGCAGAAACCTCTGAGAGGTATTGAATAACCTAGAGAGGAGTTATCAAGCTGTGTAGGGGGAGAAAACATTGATTGCTGACTCCAGAATACCACTATGGGAAGTGTTTCTTTTGATTTTGTGTTTCTCTGATACCTTTGCTTATGTCATTAAGTGGTTTTGGGATGGATTTAATGGATTTACCACTTCCCTCAAACCTTACTCCTCGTACCCGGTTACTGCTAATGGGTGGGTGAGGGGAAAAAATGCAGACAGAAATCTCTTTATTTAAAAAAAAAAAAGCAAGCCACCTTGAATCCCTCATCCAAGAAAGCTGTGTTCAGCACCAAAATTAACCTTAACACTGTTATGTCCTTGTCAAGGTTAATGTTGCTGGTTTTCTGGAGTCTGACAGCAAGAACACAGAATGAAACTGCTCGGGCTACAGTCCTCAGTGCCCTGAGAGTTTGTTCATGAGGGTGTTTCACTCCTCTGTGTACCTTTTATCTCAAACATGGGAAATAATCATAGAAACAGTGTCTGGCTGGGTTGCAGAATGGAGGGGATGAGACCAAGAAAGACAAACCCTTTTGTTCAAAAAACGAAATAGCGTGAGGGTTCTTTACGGAGGCTTAAACGTCTCTGTGGAGCAGCTCATGGGTGCGCATTGTAGCTCTTTTGGGGTGATTGTTGTGGCTTTCTTTTGAGTGGCCTTGTTTCAGTTACCAAAAAAGGTGATTTTTTTTTTTTTTAAAGAACATTTATTTTTTAATTTTATTTTTTTTTTAGAAAAGGTAATGGGATGTTTGGAGTTTTCACACAGTACAACGTGACTTATTTTGCAAGATTTTGCAGGACTGCCTTATTTTGCAGGATTCGTAACCCTGCTCACAACAGGCACCCGAAATGCAGGTCTCTGCAGGGGCAGCAGGGGAAGCTCCGTAGCTTCTGCCACTCCAGTTAATAGACGAGTCCTTTGACGTCTTTAGAGCGGCAAGGATATCTGGATTTGTTGTGTTTCTTCTGATGCTCTTTTAACACTTCTGGAGCTCTTAGGCTGCAGGCTTTTTGAGTCTTTTGTTGAAAGAGAAATGAAGTTAATGCTCTACTTGAAAACGTCTCAGTGGAATAAATTTGCAGCTGATTGTTCCCTCCCTTGCTTTTACAAAGTCTGGTACCTCGCCTTCCAAACTCATTTCGGTTGGATAGGGGGGATTTCCTAAACACATTCTTCAGACTCGGTGAAATCGAATTGTCGTTGCTGTTACAGTTACCTGAGCTCATTTGTACAGATGTACCTTATTTTCTTGTGGGGATGGTCTATTTGGATCGAAGCATCTACCTACAAGTATAATTTCAAGTGGAGGTGGGAAGAGATGATTTGTTTGTGTGAGTGTCGGCCTCGAACGCCAGAGGAACGCCTCCCATCCCCAGAAGCCGTATAAAGCCATTTCCAGGCCTAATGACGAGTGTCCCACAAGCAGTATCGCTTGCTGTGGGTGTAGTAGATGCAAATCGAGCCTCTGTTCTCCTTTTGAGCCCCTCTTCCAAGAAAACAAGGTGTTAAAATCCAAAGTCTGTGCCATATCCCAGTCTTGGATCTTAACTAAGTGCACGTGGAGCCTTACAGGTTGTATTTCTTAGAAAATAAAGCCAGGCTAAGCATTGGCTTGGCTTGTTACTGGCTAAAGTACCTTCAAAAATGTAGTGAAAGAATTTCTTGTCCTTGGTTTGATGTTCTACTGAAGATCAGTCCCTTCTGGAAAAGCCGTGTTGTATTACATGTCTCTGGTTTTGGCCTGTGGTGGGATTTGGGGTTTGTTCTGTTTTTCTTCCCTGCCAGTAGAGAAGCTCAACTTCTGAGTGCTGCGTCCCTCCGTGTTCCTGGAGGAATCCATCCCTTATCTCAAATCAATTTGCAGGAACTAGTTTGCGTGTGGTTTGAAACCTGTGAGCACTGACAGTGGGTTTCTGTTTTTGTTTGCAGCAGGGTGAAAACACTGGACTACCCATACTGTGAGCCTTGTAACCCCTTTAAACCTCTTGTTTTTTACAAAGGCTTGCGGAAGGGGAGCAGATCTTATCTGGTGGAGTGTTGAATAAACAGAAAAGCCATGATGACATTGTTATGGAGTTTGGGGACTCTGCATGCTTTACGCTCTCCTTACTGGGACATGTCTACTGGTAATGTTGCTTTTTTATTTTGTCTGATAAAGCTTGTGGTTTTTTTGGTTTGGGTTTTTCTTTTGATTTGACCTAGCCCAGTTTTAGTCAAATATATTTTCAGTCACCACAAGGGTCAGTGCTTCTGACTGAAAACGCAAATTCCTCTTTTCCAGCTAGTTAAGTGTGCAATCCAAGAGTCTTTTTCTCTTACGCCTTCAGGTTTGTTCTGTGTCCTTCCCCAAGGCCCATCTCAGTGTTGCCATTTTGATTTGTCTGTATCTGTTTAACAGATGTGTAGCTACAACCTGCAAATGCGTGTTTTGGGGACTGCCAGTCAGAAACAGCTTTACAAATTTAAATGGTTTATTTTGCCTAGATATAATAAAAGTTTCAGTAAGTGTGAACAGGTTGAATTGGACCAGTGGGGTTCTTGCATTCTTCCCTAATGTACCTGTTCTTGAAAAAACTTATTTCAGAAGCAGCTGTCTTTTGTAGCCAGATATTTAGGTGTTCAGTTTAACCCCTCATTTGTCTGTAAAAATATTACCTATAGATATTTAAAATTGCTGGAAGGCTAGCATTTGGGTTGCTGTGTGGAGAGAGAAAAAAATGCTACGAAGAACATCATCGTTCTAAAATGGAATTTCTCAAGCAATACTAGTGCTTATGCAACTTTTGAGGACTGTGCCGAATTTCCTCTGTGTCTAAATATGTCAAATAACTTCAGAAGAAATCACTGTTGCTCTGTGGCTTGAGAAATGAGGAGCATTGCTTTGACTTGCAACATGTTGTTGGTTTTCAACTCCTCTTCTGGAAAACTGTGTTGAACAAAAGTGTTTTTCTTAAGTTTCCCTACTAAGTGTCGCATTCTTTTTGCAGCAAGACAGACCGGCTTGCCAAAGGATCAGAATGTTACCAAAAGAGCCTTAGTTTAAATCCTTTCCTCTGGTCCCCTTTTGAATCGCTCTGTGAAATAGGTAAGTCTGCAGAACTGATTTGTTAGATGTGATGTTTTCGCCCTTTCAGGTTATGTCAAGCTTTCTGAGTCGCTGTTGCCATGCAGAAAGGTTTATTTTACTCAATGTCCAGAACTAGTAAAGAAAATACTGGCAGAATTCTTTGGAAGCGGCTTTTTGAGAGCAATAAGGCATTTAAAATACTTTGCCAGTGTTTTGTCTTGTTTTATTCACTTTTCATTACTTACACGTGTTTGGATTTAAGAATACCGTATGTTTTCCAGCCTACAGTTTATTTCTGAGAATAACTTAAAGCAAATCTATTAATAAAACTGTTTGTCCAGGGCTTTGTAGTGGAAGAACACTTCTGATTTAGCATATGTAGGAAAGAAATAGGAACACACTCTTGCTAAAATACTTTATCCTGTATCCTCACTTTTTCAGACTGAATAGTTGGCATATAGCCTCTGGAATAACTCCATTTAAATTTCTTCCCAATCTTACAGGTGAAAAGCCAGACCCTGACCAAACATTTAAGTTAACGTCGTTACAGAACTTCAGCAGCTGTCTGCCTAACACTTGCACAACGTTGGTATCTAATCACAACATATCCCACAGACAGCCCGAGACCGTCCTTATGGAAACGCCTCAAGACACAATTGTGAGTTTTGCTAAAATCATGATTTTTAAAGCAGCCTTCGCAGCTTGACTGAAAAATGCTTGTTAGGAACGATGCGGTGAGTATCTAACAACTGCCTTCTCTTTCAGGAGTTGAACAGAATCAACCTAGAATCCTCCAATTCAAAATATTCCTCCTTGAACACGGATTCTTCGATGTCTTACATTGACTCAGCTGTGATTTCACCAGACGCTGTCCCGCTTGGGTCAGGAACTGCCATATTGTCAAAGCAGGCTCAAAATAAACCAAAAACCGGGCGGAGTTTACTGGGAGGACCCGCGGCTTTGAGCCCACTAACCCCAAGGTAAATCCTTGACGTAGCCAATTTCCATCTGCAGCTGTGATCGTCTTTGTGGCTGGGAACGGGAAAGCTGTGTGGGCTGCGCAGCGTACTCTGGTGCTCGTGTGTTATAAATAATGCTGCAGAAACAAAACCTAAATAACTCTGGTAACTTCTCTTGGCCCTGGTGTTCACCTCTTGTGGTTTTTAAACAAGCGGTTGGTTGTTTTGGGTAGAAGAGAGGCACTTCTTGGTGTATTCCTTGCTGCGATGTTCACACTGGAGAAGTCTTTAAAGGAGCGTGTTTCTGTGCTGAAATAATCTTTTGAGAGCATTCCTTGAAGAATAGCTGTCTGCTAAAGAGCCTGTAAAGATACGCTCTGTCCTGTATGCCTTTTTATTTAAGCAGAGTTATGCTGCAAGCCGTTAATACTTGGGTGGTGTGTGCCTGTCAGTTAGTGGCAGACAGGCAGAGGAAGTTCAGTGTCTTTCGATTTCAGGAATAAGTGTATTTTCTATTAAAGTGTCTTTTATAGATGGGGACAGTAAGATACTGGAGGGCTGACATGGTCTCAGAACTATTTCCTCATTTAAGTTGATCATCGGGATCTCAGCTTTAGCCACAGAATGAGACCCGCTCCCGTGATCTGGCAGTCGGGCACTGACTCTTCCGCTCTGCCTTTTTCTCAGCTTTGGAATTTTGCCACTAGAAACCCCAAGCCCTGGAGATGGATCCTATTTACAGAACTACACCAACTCTTCTGCTGTCATCGATGTGCCACCCACAGGAGCACCTTCCAAGAAGGTACCTTGTGTTCTGGAGTACGATTGCGGTTCTAGGGGTTTGCCCATCCAGTGTGCTTTAAAGAAATGTCCCTAACGCAGATAAAAAAACCCACGTTGTGCTGACAGTGGGGAGAACCCTCTGCTGGCAAACTTTGTTTTCAAAAATAATTTATTTGAGGGTGGATCTGGTTGCAGCCTCCTTTAGTTGTGGAAATGGTTTGGGTTAATTAAGTGGGAATTAAATGTATTTATAGTTTGTTGAGGAGAAAAAAACCAAAACACCTCAAACCTCCTTCAGTCTTACTATCAGTTGTTTAATGTTGTAAGATAAAATGTTGTTCACCAGCTTATATATATTTATAGTGAGGCTGGGGGTGCAGGGAACAGTTTATTTTTAATTTGACTGCAACTGGTCACAAAACTTCTTAGGCCTTTTGGAAGCGTTAATTAAAACCAAATTCATTGTGCAATAGTCTGTTACATTGAAACAACTGTTTCTAAAGCCTCAATGGTTTGGTAGGTTTTTTTATTTAGTTTGAAATTTGTTTTTATGGCCAAGCAAATGAGGCAGCAAGAAAAAAAATACACTATATTGCGAGTGAAGATGTCCACGTTGTAAATGTTTTCAGCTGATTGTGTAACTTCCTTGGGTTGGCAAAACTGACTTTAGTTTTCTCGGCTTCTATCATTAAAAATAAAAAAGTATTCCTGCTAATTAAACCAGCGGAGAAGAATGCACAAACACTGATGATCCTAAACAACAAGGGATTCATAACTTTCAGTGTACAAGGTGGAGAGCCTGAAGACAGTCCAAACTGGGAGTTTTCACTTGATTTTTATTAGTTTTATTTCTTAAACATTACTTTCAGCTCATGTGAGGCTTCTAGGATTATTTGAAGCTGCTGCTATTTTGCAGGCAGTTCTTGAATTCTAGTTTACAGGCTGCTGCTGGTGGTCTGTGGAGGGCTGACTGGGAGGAATGGTGCTGTTTGACTTGGCTAAGTCTCGTGTAGAGGAAACTAAAAATTGTCTTTTTTACTCCTTTAGAAACTGTCATAGTTGCCATAGTGATAAATGAGAGGTGGAATGTTGGTGACAGTTGAAGAACTATTTGTTCCTTTCTAAAAACAAAAAAAAAGAGGATTTTTCCCCCTGTATTTTTAGTAAATCTAGAAGTTGCACGAGGGATGCTAGTGTTTTGTAGGTGGCCAACCCTTTAAAGTAAAAACTCGGCGCAAGTAATAGTGTTGAATTCCTCAAAAGCAGAAATAGAATTTCCGTGTGCGTTCTGGACAAATCAGCTGGCGCTCGCCTTGCTGTGCCGTTCTGCAAGAGAAGATTGGGAGCTGTTAAAAACCACTTTTGTCTTCTTTATTGGCCCAGTTCTTAAAAGAATAGAAGTCAGTAAGCAGATAACTTTTTTTTTTTTATTATTTTCCTCCCTTGGGTGGTCTTCTGAAGCCTGTGACTGGGAAGTTTGGAATTGAGTGGCCTGAGTCGTTACGGTGTCCTGTCCCTCGACATCTCCTCATTGCAACACTTCCTATCAGTTCTCTCAGTCCTGCTTTAATTTTCCTTTGTTCTCCCGGAGCTGGACTGTGCTAAACCAGTTTGCTAGAACTGTGCTTCGTGTGGCTGATCCATTCCCCTCCTGTAGCTGGTCAGGACCAACCGATTTTCCGTGGTCCAGCTGCGAACACTGCCTTGTGGTGGACTGTACCTATGTAGGAATGTGAATTTTCACGAGGCTAAAAAAGAGAAATAGCCAAGTGCAGCTCTTCAGTGTAGCGCTCATCTGCGTTTAACCTCACGTTTGTTCTGCTCAACAGATGAAAAGCTTTGGGGAACCAAGTCGTATTTGCTGCTTTTTTTGTAGCTTTGCTCGGTTTGGCACACCGACACCAGGGTGTAACTTGCCCTAATCTCTGCACATGCTTCCCTCCCAGATGCATCTGTGCTGCTACCTAAACACAAATATTTAATATATTTTAATAATCAGCTTAAAATTTTGCTATGTGCTTTGTCCAGTGCAAATAATTACTTGGCCAGTTTCACTTCTGCTCCTCGAATGACTGAGTTAGGAAAGGTTTAGCGGCGCTGTGGCTAGAACGTGCATGACTTGACGGAGGCAGTTTCCTAGGAAACGCTTGCGTAAATGAGTGAAACCTTAGGATGAATCCAAAGGCTTCCTATCTGAGTGGGCAAGGGCGCTTGCTGGCCGCCGAAACTGTCCTCTGGTAGCAAAGAACCTGAGGAGGGAAGGACGGAATGTTACGAGTTGGATAATGCAGAAACCGGCATCGCTTGTGCCGTTACCGATCCCCTTTGCTGCTTTCCGGTGCCTTGAAGGACGTCTCTTCCGAACCGTCGTCCCCAAGCGGAACGTTGGTGTCCCTGGAGTGGGCAGAAAGATGAGCTTTAAGTTTTCTTTTAAAAGGCAGGGAGGGAAGGAGCTGTTCAGAACGCTGGTAGGAAGCCTACACAGCAGACGAGGAATTTTGCTCTCAACTTGTTCCTTAGGTCTCTGATTCACAGGCGAGTTCCCAAACCGCAGCTGTGCCAGGGCAGGCAGCAAAGTGCACGTTTTAGCTCTGAAGCGAGGCTTTAATTGGTGAGATACTGATGTCTGCTCGGAGCAAATACGCTGAAACCGGGGCCTCAGTGAGGCATTAACAGTGAACGGCTTCCCGAGCCGATGGGAATGGGGTAATTCAAAAATCTTGTTCTTTCTCTGGTTGGGTTAATATTATTTTTTTTTTGTACAGCTTCCTGTGGAGAGGGAACTTTCAGTGTAACGTCCTTTATTCTTGCGCAAACATCTTAGCATGTAGTTACTTGCTGCTAGATGGAGACTTTATATCTTTCGACTAAAATGTGGGAAGTTGATAAACTCGGCATTATTGGTTTTTAACAGGTAGAAATGTTTGTGAGGGGCCCTCACTGGAGGGGGACCCTCACCCTTCATTGAAATAATCTGTGTTTGTCCTATGTTTATCCTCTTTTGTGCAATATTTGATTGGCAGAATGGGTTTGGTTTGCTATAGCAGAGATGGAGACTTCTTAGTGGCATAATAACAAACCTGTAGAAACTTCGTGTTATGCAGAGTGTCAGCAGGATGAGCCAAGCTGGAACAAAGTCTGTCTTCTCACAGAGCGGAAATAGCCGGGAAGTCACTCCAATTCTTGTTGCACAAACACAGAGCTCTGGCCCACAGACAAGGTAGGGGGGAAAAAAAACCCAACAAAATCTTGATATCACCTTTTGCATCTCCTTATTTGAAGGAATTTGGCACTTGATTTGTCCAACTTGCATGGGTGTTCCTGCAGAATTCCTCTCTGGGTGAGGGCAAAGTGGTTTTTTTTGTTAGCTGAAATACCTTCCATGGATAAGTAGAAAGCTTGTGTGTAGAGGTTGGCCTGTTGAGTTTAAATCTTCTTTGCAATTTCATCAATAAATGAAAAAATACCTGGGAATTCAGCTCATGTTCTTGATGTGCGACAGGTAGATTTTTTTGTTTGTTTGTTTTCATCCCCTGAAATGGGATTATCTGTGCCTTTGTTTAAAAAAAAAAAAAGTTATCTTTTGTTTAAAGAAAGAAAAATGCTTTAAAAGGTGGTTCTATTAAAAATGAAGGATTTGAGTTTTGAATGTGCTTGTTTTCAGTACAACACCTCAGGTATTGAGCCCAACAATTGCTGCTCCACCAAACGCGCTGCCTCGAAGAAGCTCTCGCCTGTTCACTAGCGACAGCTCTACAACAAAGGTAACAAGCCCGTGTGGTTTGCAGACTTGTGGGACACCAGAGCACAAATCCTCGGGGGCTGTAGTTGGGTGCTGCAAGCGTTCACAATTCAAAGAAGTTAACTCCTCCTGTGAAGTCAGAGTGTCTGTGTGCTGAAGTTTAAAATTCAATACAACTGGGCACGGTTAAGGCAGCAAAGAGGCATAAATCTAATTTTACATGATTCATTTCCATGTTTAGTTACTTGAATCGAAAAGGCATTTATATGTGTAACTCTCGTGCTTCTTACTTGCAGGAAAATAGCAAAAAGTTGAAAATGAAGTTTCCACCTAAGATTCCCAACAGAAAAACAAAAAGTAAAACAAATAAGGGAGGAATAACTCAACCAAACTTAAATGACAGTTTGGAAATTACCAAACTGGACTCTTCCATCATTTCAGAAGGGAAAATTTCCACTGTTGCGCCGCAGATCCAGGCTTTTACGCTACAGAAGGCAGCAGCAGGTCTGTTTGAACGCTATTGGACTACAGTAAACCTTCATATATTCATATTTTAAGGTTAAATGAAAAAAGTTTTGCTCCAGTGTTCATTCTTTGCTTCAGTTAGCGTGCAGCTATTGCCTTTGTGTAATTAAAGACATTGAAATCAGTATCTTCTGGTTAACTTGGAACATGTGAAGAAGTAGCAGGAAGTGGCTTTGTGTAAGCAGATGTATCTTGCAGGCTTCAGTCCTTTTGAAGGATTAAAATGTTTTCAGGCAAAATCCTTGGAAGCTGATGGAAAAGAGCTGGGAATAACCTGGTCATCTTCCCTTAAAATGAGGTTCATGTAGCCTGTTCTCCCTTTTCATATTTCCCCCTTGTTGAAAAACAAGTCTTTACTCAGATTGTCCAAAAATCCTAGAGAAACTGCTGAATTCCTCTCTTTTGGCTCCATAATGTTTCCAGGCAGTGAGAAGATGTATCCACGGATACCAGACGTGGAAACTGCGCTCAGACCTAACCCAGTGTTTGAATAGCTGCTGTAAATGCAAGATTCTGGTTGCCCCAAACTTGAGAGTTTCTCTGTTCCTGAGTGTTTTGTTGTTGGCTTAAGCTGCTGTTACCATCTGACTTCCATTACAAAAGTTGATGGTTTAGAATTTTATGACTAAGTTAAGAGTGTGTAAACGTGGTTGAGAACTCCTGAAAGATTTTTCTTAAGTAAATTGAGAAGCAGTGCCTGCCACAATGAAGAGCTTACAGGATTAGCAATTTCAAGTAAATAAGTCTCAGCTGCTGCTTTTTTTTTTTCTCTTTCCACTTTTATTTATTGTATTTTTCTCCTAGAAGGTTTGATGAGCCTTCTCCGTGACATGGGGAAAGGTTATTTAGCCTTGTGTTCGTACAACTGCAAAGAAGCGATCAATATTTTAAGCCATTTACCGTCTCACCACTACAACACTGGCTGGGTGCTGTGCCAAATCGGGAGAGCTTACTTCGAACTTGCAGAATATATGCAGGTAGGAACCGTGTGGGTTGGTCCGTACTCTTTTTTTCACTTGGTTTTGTGTAGCTTTGCCCCAAACCTGCAGCTTTCCCGTGAACGCTGTGAGAAATTTGCAGTTGAGGTAATTGTATAAATGTAAAAGTTATACCTGGAACGGATTTAGATCTTGAATCTGCACCACCAGGAGCTGAGCTTTCCTGAAGAGGCTGAGTTACACTTTACACTTCTTGTAATGTTATTTCCTCTTGTATCCGACCCTTGGGGTCTCCTCCTTGCCTCTCCCCGTCTTGACTCACGGCAATGCCGACCTGAGCGTTTGCAGGACTCTAGCTCTGCGTAGAACTCTCTCAAAGTGAAGAGAGTGCTCAGGCTGGACGTAGGAGGCTTCTGACCCTGACCTGTGTGCTTCGCTTTGATGGGTGGAGTTTTTGGTTTAAGTTTTAATTTCTGTTCTTAGGCTGAGAGAATATTTTCCGAAGTGAGGAGGATTGAAAACTACAGAGTAGAAGGCATGGAGATCTATTCGACTACGCTGTGGCATCTGCAGAAAGATGTTGCTCTTTCGGTTCTTTCCAAGGATTTGACGGACATGGATAAAAACTCCCCGGAGGTATGAAACGCCGTGGTCTTGAATGAGAAGAGGGTGACTGTATGTGGTCAAATCAATGATTCCAAAACAGCTCTGAGCCAATTCAAGCGTGTTCTCCCATGGAAGCTGCGTGGCAAAACTGGAGGGGGAGGTGACAGGAATGTCTGGGGAACTGATGATGCCTGAAATGGCTTCGTAGAGTTAGAATATCAGCTTACATGGAACAGGTTGAAACCTTTCATCTGTTAATGGTTATTTAAATTTGCATTGGCACCCCTCATCCAGGAAGATCACAAGTTAGTCAATCACCTGTATTACTGCCAGTGTGCAAAGATAAGGAATATCTTTTTCCTGCACTGCCTTTTAATTGCTGTAGTTAATTCACTGGTACTAAAAACGTTTGCTCTAGAATTTATTTTCAGAGGTGATGTTACATGTTCTTATGCCAAAGTCCATTATACTGGAGATATTATAAAGTCATGGTAGGCAAAAAGCCAATCATCTTTTGATGGGTGCTGCAGAAGAAGTAATAGATGGATGTATTTTTGTAAATACGTTCTTAACAGAGCTGTAGATGATAGTGGGATTTTGTTGTTGGAGAGAATCCTGTTCATGTTGTCACGTTAGTGTGTTTAATAGAGGAAAAATCCAAACCACTGAAGCGGTTGGCAGTTACAGTAAGATAGTCTGGAGAGGAGCAAATGTAGATTCTGGAAAACGAGGAGTGGAGAACAGTTAGATGATTTGGCAGCGATGCTAACGATTTGGGGAAGCAAGAGACCCTGGTTGCTGAGCAGGAGGGAAAAAGGAGGTGACTGCGAAACCTGCTGCTCTGCCGAGTTCCAGGTTTCTCAGCTGGAAGGAGCTGAAGAGTGAGAGTGAACGTACCGTCTCCTCCTTCATTCTTCTTAAGCATCTGAGATGTTTTATTTCTGGCCTTTTCAACAGCTTCAGAAGCTTTAGTCGATAGCCATCCAAGCATCTAACTGGTGCCAACTTGCTGGGTGTCCTTAGATTCTCCATCTCTGTGTTTCAGCTGGGCTAGCTGCAGGGTGCATTCAGGCCTCTTTACCTCTCGGGAATGAGACTGTTAACTCGCTGTTGGCTTATTATTATTATTATTTAATCTAGGAGGAAGTTACACATATTATGTAAATCAAATTGGAGAAAAAAAATCTGTTCAGCTCAGGCTTAGTTGCTCTGGAGTCGCCAAGCGTGCACTAATTTTGCAATGCTCCCGTCACCAGGCATGGTGTGCTGCAGGAAACTGCTTCAGCTTGCAACGAGAGCATGACATCGCCATCAAGTTCTTCCAGAGAGCCATTCAAGTGGATCCAAACTACGCTTATGCCTACACCCTGCTGGGGCACGAGTTTGTGTTGACGGAAGAACTAGACAAAGCATTAGCTTGTTTTAGAAATGCAATCCGGGTCAACCCGCGGCACTATAATGCCTGGTGAGTTCTGCTGCATCCCCCTCCGGCTGCACGCGGTACAGAACTCCTTTTGGAGAAATACCTTCTGGCTGCTGCCACTGCTATCGTTTCTTTCGCTCTCTGCTCACTAGTAAGAGAGCAAAGCAGAAGATCTCTCTGTTTATTGGACAGTTACTTCCACAAGGAAGGCAAAAAATCAGAGCTCTCCTGGTTTCCCCAGATGATCTTGGCAGTATTACCCAGGCAGTTTTGTTCTGCGTGCCGCTCCTCGTGCAGCTAGTTGGTTGGTCTCGGTTGCAGTTGGGGAGATGAGAGATCTGCTCCTTTTTATACCTTTGGATACAGTCAGTCTCTTGCAGCTTTTTCTGTGGGGGGGAAAAAAACCAACACATAAAGCAGTAAAAGTTATATTTACTAGTTTAAGTCATTTAGCCCTGAGAAAACCTTCAGTTCTTCAAACTACCCAAGTGAGCAAGAAAAACAAGGTCATTGTAGATGTTTCCCACCCTGGGTGGGATTGGCAAGTCTGTAGAGTATTTCCACCAGGTCGTATTCCCTGACAAAGACTAGTTTGATTAGACTACAGCCTTAACGGAATTGTTTTTCTGCTTGCAGGTATGGGTTAGGAATGATTTATTACAAACAGGAAAAATTCAGTCTAGCAGAAATGCATTTCCAGAAAGCACTTGATATCAATCCTCAGAGCTCGGTCTTACTGTGCCACATTGGAGTAGTAAGTAGATTGCACTTAATTCTGTCCTGGGGTTTTAATCTGCTTCTGTACTTTGGCTGCACTAGGAAAGTCATTCTGAGTGTTTTTAGCAAAAAAAAGCCAGCGAGTTCAGAGTAGCCATTGGGAGCTTTTAGGTGCCACGTGAATGAATAACCACTGGATTAATGTCTTGGAAAAGAAACTCCTCTCTAGCTTTCAACTACTTTTAGCCTGTACTAAAATTATACTGTCAGTTCATGTTTTAATAAGTGCAATGGCTGGTTCTCTGCTGGCGTTCACTTACCTTCTGTGTGGTGGCAAAGCCGTGTCAAATTCTGCAGGGGCGGTGGCTGCTTCTCACTTAGGTACAGAGAAAGGCGTTGAGCTCGCTCCTGGCCAAAGGTTAAAAGATTTCTGTAAGTTGCTGGGTGGGGAGAACGCTTTGAGGTGGAGATGGGGTGAGGTGAACCTTGCTTTTTGTGAGAAAGCTTGTTAAGACTTGGTCTAGATTTGGACAGATATTTTTAAAGGAACAGATTGTAAGTAAATGGCCACGTCTGGCAGATGAGCTGCAGTGTTCATGTTTAAAATTGGTCTCTCTTTTTCTTAATAGGTCCAGCATGCACTGAAAAAATCTGAAAAGGCTTTGGATACTTTAAACAAAGCTATTAACATTGACCCCAAGAACCCGCTATGCAAATTCCATAAAGCTTCTGTATTATTTGCAAATGAAAAATACAAGGTAAGATGCGGTACATGTGGCCAACCCGAAGTTATCTTTAAAGTGCCGGAGCTAGGAGTGAGTGTGCCCTGGAAGTTAAACGCTTCCAGATTTAACGCTGGGCAGCCTCAGGACCTGCAGCAAGAGTTGGGGGCATTGGCTGAGTTTGTAGAGGCTGACATGAAGCGTTCGCTTTGCCAAGGGAACTACATTAAAGTTTTTGATTGTTAAAATCTGGGGGCAAAGAAAGGAGAGGAGTTACTGCACGTGTCCGTGCTGTGACTGGATTATCCCGAGTTTGTACTGAACTACTAACAAAGGCTCAGAAACTGCCCTGTAAGAGCAGGAAGGAGCAGTTTCAAATGCTGGGTTATCGAGTGAAAAATCAGAAGCTCAGCGCTCTGGTCTGATCCTGTTCCCTGCTCAGAGCACAGCCCGGCTTTGCAGTGACTGGTGTCCTCTGGCCTGGTTCTTTTGGCCAGCGAAGAGAAGCCACAGTCTGGTTTCTGAAACCTTGCTCCGAAATGCGTGTGCACCTGTGGAGGGAAAACTCTTTAACTGGCTGTTGGATACGTTGTAGGAGATGAACGCCCAGTCAGGTCGCTCTTTCTGTAATAATGGGGCTAGAAAGTGATACAATCTTGAAATGAGAAACTGATGTGAAGGGAAATTTGGATGCTGCTCCTGAGATTGTGCTGCTCTTCTTGATGGAATATACTCTATGCAAATGCCAGTTGTTTTTTTTTTTTTTTCTTTTTCCCCCACATTAGTTCTAAGTCACAGTTTAGTGGTGTCAATACCTGGTTGCAGACTTCTAGCGTGTACTTGCTGAGCTCTCTTTTTCTTTTCTTTTCTTCTTTTCAGTCTGCTTTACAAGACCCTCTGGAACTGAAACAGATTGTTCCCAAAGAGTCTCTTGTTTACTTTTTAATAGGAAAGGTAGGTAAAATTTAACTGTGCTTGTAAGTTCTTTGGTTTCTGTTGCTGCAGAAATGTATGCCTAAGGAGAAAATTTCGTGCCTGTCACTAAGCTGCTTCCCTCTGGAGCCATACTCTAAAAATTCCCAAAGCTTTAAATAAGGTTTACTGCTCACAGCTTTTAAATGCAGAAGCCGGTTATTACTGCAGCAAAGCAGCCTTCAGCTTGTTTTAAAACCAATGAATTAAAAAATAACCCAAGCCAGTGTTATTCTCTGCCTGCTTTGAGTTCACCGCTGCCAATGTGCAAGATAGCTAATGTTAAAAAAGACGTTGATCCTGGTAAAGGTGTTTCGCTGAAAGGAGACACAGTGGTTGTGCGTGCAGCCGTGTGTCTTCCCCTGCAGATGAAACTCCATCAAGACTTGATTCACTGGGATATTTCTGGTTTGTCAGCTGAATTTACATTCCAGCCTCCTTAAAGTTTTATGCCAGAGAAAAGTTCTCTGGTAATTCAAGTCCTCCTTCCTCACCGTGCTCTCTGCTAATAGGCTTTAAATAAATCCTTCCTTCTTCTGTGGGTGTCTGTTCGCCTGGAAACAACAAACCAAACTTACCTCTAGCACAGTCCTGGATAGCTCTTCATCAGCAAGATTTCCTTCTTTATTTTTAAACTGGAGAGAAGTAAAAGGGTTTATGCTGAAACTTGTTGACTGGTATTTGTCCAGGAGTCGCTGCACCTCTAAATTGATTGGAGAGTTGCCTTGTCTTGACAAACTTGAGTACTTTCGCTCTTCAAATGTTTAACAGAGATAAATTACTTGCTCGTCTGTCCTTAATGATAAGCAGAGCTTCAGAGCAAGTTGCGGTGACAAAGAAGGTAAAATATGGGCTGGATCCTCTGGTGCAGGGATGCCTTGAGAATGTTGCTGTTCGGTTTAACGGGGGAAGCTCGGTGTCCCTTAATGTCCTGTTCATTTTCTCCACCTGCCAGTGACAGCTAAAATGTCACTTGAGGGTGTAGGAGCGGCCGTGCTGAGTCAAATCAAAAATCTGCCGAACCACGTGCTCTGCCTTTGCTGGTCCTCGGTGTGAGAGCTGTGGGGAAGAGCCTAAGATCACTGTGTGCACGTGGTGATGCTTCCCCAGGCTGTTCTCTGGGGCTCTGACGTTAGAAATCTGAGGCTCTGGACTTTTTCCCTGAGCCACGAGTAGATTTGGGGCTACAGTGACTCCAAAAATCGGGAGAGTGGTGAGGGCGTAAGACAAAACATGTGCACCAACAGCTTTTACACCACCCTGCTGCAGAGCTCCAAAGCTTAAATTCATATCTGAAGATCTACCTCGTTTATTTTTTTTAGTCTGTCAGCTGCTAGTTTAATTTAATTTGTTTGAGTCTGAAATAGAAACGCTCACTCTTTCTGCACATACTTACTGTTGCCCTTGGGACTCATATAATAAATCCTCCGTATCTACCCTCTGTTGCTTTTCATAAAATACCAATTAACCATGGCTTGGTGTGTTTGTTGTCCAAACCTTCAAGTAGCAACTTCATGTGAATGTAGCCTTTTTTTTTTTTTTTTGCTTTTGTTTGTAGGTTTATAAAAAACTGGGTCAAACGCATTTGGCCCTAATGAATTTCTCGTGGGCAATGGACTTAGATCCCAAAGGAGCCAATAACCAGATTAAAGAGGCCATTGATAAACGCTACCTTCCAGATGATGAGGAGCCAATAACTCAAGAAGAGCAGATCAGTGAATGTTACCCCTATGAATCAGGTTTGTATTTCAAACCTTTTGTCATTCGAGGAGATGTTTCCCCTTAGGCAGCACGAGGAATCCCAGGTTTATTAGGTAAAACTTCCCGCTCGGCAAGTAAGAACTCGGAGGCTCTTCCTTCAGAACAATTCATCCGTGCTTCCTCCGTTAAGTGTGAAATAAAGGATGGGGACGTTTCTTTAGACTCTGTAGATGGAGTAGGGCAGAAATAACGACACAGATTGTGGTTGGCCACTAATATTATCCCAGGAGAGCGAGACTTCCCGCAGCTGCGAGTCTTCCCTCCCCGAAGCGACAGAACGTCTCAAGGTGAATCACGACTGAAACTGTCTGTAGGGGCTTTGGCAAAAGTTCAGCAAACTCGGTGTTGGGTGAAAATGTTTGGTGTGCGAAGCAGAAACGGCAGCTTTTGGATCAAAATCATGGAATTGAGTGTGCGGGGGAAAAACCCACTCCCATTATCCTCCACAAAAAGGAATCCCCCAGGTTTCTCTTCTCTAGGACTTTTTATCATGAGCTGCAGTTCTGTGAAGCAGGGTTAGTCCTAAATATTCACCTGAAATAGCAATGGAAAATAAATGCCGCTGAGCAGTTAAATGAGAATAAAATGCAGCAGGTTTTGGTTTATAGCTACTACCTGTATGCTGTTTTGCACTTCTAAATCTTCAGTTGGAAAAGTTGTCACGTTTTCTTCTTGTCTATCACGTTCGCTTTCCTTGATCGTGTGTCCAGTGTGCTTTTTACTCCTGAAAATTACCCTGCACTGCACGAATTTTTCTCTCCCTGCCTCTGGGGTTGGGCTGAATTGAACCAGGGGCTGAGCGTGTTTGTGACCAGAAGAGGGAGACAGAGCACTTGGACTGCTCAGCGCCAGGGGAAAAAACCACCAAAAAACCCTCCTTAAACGCACATATCAAAAAACCACCGCACGCCCAAACCCAACCACACACAGAGAGACCTGTAACCAAAAACTCTAACACCTTCATCTGCCCCCTACCTGTGACCAAAATAAAAGTGTGTGAATCTCCCTGTAAGCAATTCAGTTTCCTGGGCTCTGCAGATATGTCTTGGAGGTGTTTCACGGTCTCGGTTCAGCCATTCCTCTAGGATCCTGGAGCCAAGCTAAAGTAAATTAAAGTAGTAAATTAAGTAGTACTAGTGGCTGGGGGGGGCGGGGGGGGGGGGGCGCGGCCCCCCCAGCCGCGGACGAGGGGCTGGCGGAGCCGGGGTGGGCGTTCAGCTGCCCAGCATGGGCCTGGCTCTGTCCCTTGTGCACAAACCTGCCCCGTGTTTGCGTTAAAGCAGTAACAGGCATCTTTCTCTCTCTTTCTCCATGTGAGACAACGTTTACGGTTCATACACTAAATTGTGTTAGGGAGAGCAGACTTGAGCCACGTTCCTGTGTGTGAGCAGCAGCCATCGTTAGGTACATCCCTTGTTTCTAATTTTAACAGAAGCCAGATGTTTAAGGGCAATGTCTCGGTGTGTGCACGTTGACCTGGCGCGTGCTGCCTTTAGTCAAGGAGCTGTCGGAGTCTCATTTTGCTGGAAGCTCTAGGCTCGCCATCATCCAAGCAAGTGAAGGCAATAATTCCTCGGTGTCGGAGCCGTCTGCGCGCACTTACTCGAAGCACTTCTCTCACCTCAGACCTGGCGCTGTGTTCTTTGTCCTGGGAGCGAGCAGAGGCTGCCCAGCGCCGCTACTGGAGTATTATTTGATTATAAATCGAGCGCTCGCGCTGCGGCGGGTAACTGCCGTGAGCATTTCAGGTGGCTGCTGTGCTTTTAGGAGGGAAAAGGCTAAAAATCGCTCTGAAAGCAGTTTTGGAGCCGTGCGTGCCAATCTGTACCGAACTGAGGGTCAGAGATTTCAGGCTCTTAACAGAAGGTGGCTAAGGCCGTGTTCTGTTAACGTGTGCTTCGTGTTAATTCCTTTCTAAACGCGTTTATTTGGACTTCACTAAGCTGGCAGGGCTTGGCGTGTTAGGAGGAAAAAGGGAAACGCCGTGTGGCTTTCAGGCGTTGGGGGGGAAGCCCAAACCCGTTTCTGCTGCGCTGTTGACGTGCTGGAGTTGAGCGAGGGGGGAATCTTTGCAGTGAAGCAGCTTCATAGCGTTTGACCGCTTCGTGTTTCTTTTCTCTTTCAAGTCGGCACAGACGAATCCCAAGAGAGCAGCATGACGGATGCGGACGACACGCAGCTCCACGCGGTTGAAAGCGATGAATTTTAACCTCCGGAAAGCCAGTATTGGAGCCTCGAGCGTGTGACCGGTACTGTTGTGTTCTCCCCTTCCTTCGCATCCTGGGTCTTCACGTCACTGAGCCAGCATTGTCATTATTCTCCACTGACCCCACGAGTGCACCGCTCGGACTTCAGCCCTACGCAGAGTTAATGGCAGTGCAATATTCCGCTGCTACCGAGTCTGACTAGTTGGCTCTTACACATTTATGAAAGCGACTGAGGAGGAAATGCTCTTTTTGGACTCCCCTTTGCTGGGAAAAAAAAAAAAGAAAAAATGTATCATGGAAGAAAGACTTGTGGTTTGCTGTAACGAAGCCAGTAGATGTGGGGATAGTACTAATGAAGCAGTGTCTTGTTCTTTTTTCCAGAAATGTGTCTTAGTTTGGTTCTTTCTTGGTGAGCAGAGTGCTGAACCTCATTTCTGAGTTCTTCAAGGACAGTGTTGACAAGCGCAGGCTGTTAAAGACTTTTGCGTATTGTAGTGTAACTTAAATACCAGGGAATGTAAATGACCTTAAAGCTGCAGTTTCTCCAGTCAACAGACCCGGTGCGCGTGCTCAGGACCGGGAGGGTGACAAACCCCGTCCGATATCCCGTGTCCCTACTTAGAGGGCAGACTTGCAGGAGTGGAAACGTAGCAGGAGAATCACATTGCAGAATCAAAGCTTTTTTTTTTTTTTTTTCATGAAGTGCTTTCATGTCCTAACCAAGAATTAATTTATTCACCTAGTTTTGGGAAAGGTCAGTGTTTACTTTGTACTTCAGAGAAATGAGTCAGCGACACTTTGCTTTGCTTTTCATCTACCCCTTGACTTGTCCTTCCCCTTTTACGCATAAAAATTAAGAAAGGGCGAAATCAAGAGAGAAGCGTAGATGCAGCTGTAACGAGAAAACATCGAACCCCTTAATCCAGCGTGACTGCCTGTTTTAAGCAGATAGACTGGGAAGACCGTGGAAGCCTTAAATACAATCAGAACCTTGGTCAAACGCATCAAATAATTGTCTAAGATTAGCGTCATTTTGAAAAATGGTTTTTTAAAGTGTGGTCCAAGCAGGATGCAAAAATGTGCAATTACCTGTCTTTTTTTTTTTTTTCTTTCTTTCTTTTTTTTTTTTAAGCTGTTCTTTAAGATTCTCACTCTAGGAACACTCACCACCTCTTCTACAGAGGCTGCTTCTGCGAGAAGGAAGCTACACCCCGTCGACGAGTCCAAACCGATCTCTGTAGCGTTCTGCAGCAACACTTGGTGCCCTTTGTGCAGTGATGATAAAGTGTATGATATAAGCAGTTTTAAAGAGCAATTTATGCATAATAAATTGGGAATGATATAAATTTCATAGCAACATATTTGTTGTGATCAGTCTTACTCTTCCTTTTTCCACGTGTGGGTTTCTAGGGGTGTCTTAATTACCTTCAGATTTATTTATTTTAATTCTGTCCTTGCCTTACACTGGGTGTGTCTTCTGTCTGAGCCGCACGGATGCTTCTATCTGAAAAATAATCCCCAAGCACTGAGCAAAAATAAAAATCTTTGGGTTTTTTTTTAAGTAGGAGGATAAGCAATGAACTATAGTCTTAAACTGCCCTAACAGCATGAAAAGGAATTTTTAAAGTCTGAGGAGCAATAATATATTGAACAGGATCTCTGTGCCTCTGCCCTGCGCTTCTGGTCAGCTCGTCTCTGCGGAGGTTGACGAGTTGGTCGGAAAATTGTGATGTGCTTCAGCTGGCTTGAGCCTCCGGAGTCCCGCGCCACTCTTTTGCGGCCCTAGATATTGGGGGGCGATTCTCTTGTCCTGACGGGTTCTCCCCGAGGAAGACGCGGGGTTTGGATTTCCCAAGAGTTGACCCCTGTCTCCGTGGGAGCTCCTGCTCGGTGCGACGGATTTTCCCAGCTCGGTCCTGGCGAGTTTTTCCCATCCCGCCGCCTCGCCAGGAGGAGAAGGATCTCATCTCGCCAGCGTTTTGGTGTGAGGTCTGGAGGCAGCACTTGTGTGAACGCAACTAATTAAGGTGTTAATTGCCTTCCTGGCGGTTCCCCATGTCTTTCCTGAGCAAAAGGCAGGAGTAAGCAGGGGCTGTTCTCAAGGCGTTTCCCTAACAGGTGCTGTTGTTTAAATGGGGACCAGAGATGGAGGGTATTCGGTGTTTTTTTCCCTTTTCTGTCATTCTCTAAGAACCGTGAACGATCGTTGTAAAATTTTCAACACTCTGCGAAGAGCTTTTAATTCAGCCGGGATGTTAAAAGGATTTTCATGCTGCCTGGAAGATTGAATCCTCCAGACTCTCCCTTGCTTTATACCTACGTTCTACCTGAAAGTGATTTTTTTCTTTTTTCCCCCGAGAATCTCAAGTGACGTGTAGTCCGTGCTGCTAGTTCACCTTCTCAATAGACACACAAAATTAAGATTTCCTCCGTAAAACTTTTACTCTCTTTGAGCTGGGGCAGGGAGGGGGATGGGGAGCATGAGGGCACTCGAGCAGCCAGGTTAGAGCGAGCGTGTTCACTGAAAGGAATTAGGGAACTGTCATTTTCTTACAGCAAAACTGTGGAAAAATGCAAAGTGTGGGTGTGGTGCGTACTGGTTGCATTGAAACAATGTAATTTGTCTTTTTTTTTTTCTTTTCCTGACTTTTTATTTTCCAAAATTGTACAGTCTTAGGGGCGGGGGAAAGTAAAAAAGAAAAAAGAAAAAAGAAGTCTTTTCCGTTAATATATTTGCGATTCATCAAAGGATGTGGAATATCCAAATAAACTACTTTTAAAAGCAAGTTTCTCCCCAGGTCCTTTGGGTCAACGTTGGGATCCGTCCTTCAGGAGCTGCAGAGAGGTTTTAGGAGGCGCTTTGGGGTACGTGGAGGCCGGTTGCTGTTCGGGAGCAGCTGGGGATGCCGGTGTCTCCTGCGGAGCCGCTGCAGGTGCCGGGGAAGCGGGGCGGGCAGCGAGTGAACCTCCCTGGAATTTTAGGCGAGAGGTGAAGGGTTATGCCTGACGCGAGGTTTCCCAAAATGATTCTGTCAGCGTACGTCCCGCGGCTTGACGGGAGGGTCAGTAAGCTCCCAGGTATGGAGCAGGGGTTTTTTTTATTGGTATTTTTTTATTCTTTTTGTGGCTGCGACTGCCGGGGGCTCCACGGAGAAACGGTTACGGGCTCGGTTACGCCGTCTCACCTGGAGGAGAAGTTTGCCAGGAAGGCTGAGGCTGTGTAGGAATTCCTCCTGCTGCCTACGCAGACATCCCGGGTTAAAGCTTTCAGCGCTTCTTTTTGCCCATTATATTACCCTAATTCCGCAATTTTTCGAGACCCGAGTTTGACTGTAAAAGTGCCGTCGAATTTAACCCTTCCCCTTTTTCCCGCGTTTGTTTTTTCATCCCGGACTTTCACGATTGTGTGGGCAGAGACAGTCCAGGAGCTAAATTCTCTGCTCGGCAGCTGACTTCCCGCCCTGCTTCACGCACGGCAGCGAGAGCCGAGTTATTCTTCCTGTGTCTCGGCTGCAGTTTCTCTGTGTCGGCTCCCATACCGGGGATTTAGGCTGTTCGCTTCCTAGTGGCGACGCGGAGCTTTGTTAGCGGCAGCCTGAGCTTCGGATGTCTCCAGAGAAAGGCAAAGCATTCACGAAATTTGACTTTCAAGCTGCGATACTTCGTTTTGTGGCTGAACCACGGCAACGTAGAGACCACCGGGAGCTGCTGGTCCCTCAGGATTTCCAGCTCAGGAATGTTTTTGGCACCTGGTCTTTGGGAACACCCACAGCTTCTTACCGGTGCATCGCGCTCCATTCCGTCGTTCATCAGGCACTTCCCTGCTGTATCATCTCATCTTTTCTGCCCCTCTGCCCAAGTTAGTGACTTTATTTGAGTAAGAACTAGTCCAGGAGCAGGCGCTGGTTCATCTTTTTAAAATGGAGCTGAAGAGCCGGGTTTCTACAGCAGGAAGCTCAGTATTCCCGATGCTTAGAGGAGCGGAATTTAAAATTATATTAACAGAGAGAATATTTTTCTTAACTGCTTTTCAAATTGGTATTCATGGAACCTGTCATATTTCTCAGGTAGTTTGGGTTGAGCTGCTGCATGAGCCCCGGGAGATGTTCCTGCGTTTGGAATGGGGATGGAGGGGTGGGAGGGGATCCCGACCCTTCCCTGGGGCTGCAGCACCGGACTCAGCAGAAGCCTCTGCAGCCGTCGTGTCCTCGCATCCCGCCGGGGAGAGTCACGGAGCAAAGCCGGGGCCCAGAACGGCCCGTGGAGGTGGAAACAGCACAGATGGGGGGAAGGAGACTGAGGAGCCGCTGCGGCAGCTGCAAGAGATGAGACTGGTGAGAGATCGGGGAGCGGGCGCAGCGGGGTGACAGTGTGGGACCTGGGCTGGGTGATCGTCCCTTCTCCAGAGCCAGCTGTCACGGTTGGGCCAGTTTGGGGCTTCTTGGGGTTTCTCAGAGCTGCAGCAGGAGCGATGCTCAGCAGGGCCACCCTCTCCTGTGCCTCCGCAGCCTCGTGGCACAGGACACTGGTGGCTTCTGCAGCCTCTCGTCTGTGGCTCTGGCTGCACTTCTGGTCCCTCCTTCAGGGGTTGGGGGTCCCGCTCCCTGCTCTCGCGTGATGCTCTGTCCTGTTCTCATCTGGGACCTGCTTTCCTGGCCCAGATTATTTTGTTTGGCCTTAAAGGATGGGAAGAATTTCAAAGATCCTAGTGGTACCAGTCAGGGAAGTATCAGAAACACCTCCCAGATCAGAAAAATACACATTTTCAAAGGTCAATTCCATAAAAAAAACCCACAAACCCCACAGAAAAATACACCCGGAAAGGAGCCACAAGCTCCTTTCTATCTTTACGTTCAAACGCTTCATTAGTTAAAAATCTCCTCCTGTACCAAAATCCTGCACTTCAGATCCACGTATATGTGGAACAACAGAACTTCTTTGTTGTCAGGACATTTGCAAAGCGAGCTTAAGACGACGAGAGGATTACTTTGCTACTTTCTGC